CTCTCTGGGCTACGAACCAAGGTGTCAGGAGGGTTGCCTTCCTTGGAGGCTCTGGGGAGAACTCATTTCCTTGTCTTCTCCAGTTTCTAGAGAATGCCTGCATCCTTGACTGCTGGTTCCTTCCTCCATCTTCAAAGCCAGCAGCATAGCATCATTAAATCTCTCCCCCTGACTCTCTTGCCTCCCTTCCATTAACAAGAGCCCTTGTGATTCAGGACAACTTACTCATCTGAATCGTATCTGCAAAGTCCCTTTTGTCATGTAAGGTTATATATTCACAGGTTCTGGGACTAAAGACCCAGACATTTTCTGGGAGAGGTAGGGTATTAGGAGCTGGACATCTATGGGGGTGCAGTTCTTTATTCTGCCTGCCACAACTCCCAGAGCCCAAAGTCCCCAGCCAATGACACAAAAGGGGCCAGTCTGCCTCCTCCTGGGCAAAAGAGCTTCAACAGTATTATCAAGAGGCCTTCACAAGGGCTGGGCTTGGAGTCTCACCCCTGAACCTGTAACTATGCTAAGATGTCCTTCCTAGGCTCCTCTAACTGCCCAAATAAATGAGTCCCTTGGAGATGCCTTGAATCTGCTCACCAAATGTGCAGGTCAATGAGTTGCCAGCTAGAATAGCTCTTAAGGTGAGAGAGCAAAATGTGCGAAGGCGGAATTCAACTTGGAAGATGATTCTGACATTAGCTCATTAGCTCAGCAGCCACACCCTTCCAAGGCAGAGAGGGTGGGGTGTGTGCAGGGGCCCGGGAAAGGCCCAGGAGGCACGAGTTCTCGCCATGCTTACTTCTTCCTGATGCTCCTTCTTTACTTGGTGCAGAAACGAGCCTCTGAAGGATGAAGCCTTGGGGTGGCAGTGGGGGTGGGGAGTGGGAAGGGCAGAGGGTGCTGGGTGGGTGGAGTTGGGGAATCATACTCCTTTCTTCTCCCAAATGTGTGCTGGATGCCAGCCACGAGCCAGGCACAGTGTTTGGAACTCAGGAACAGACAAGGTTCCCGGAGAACCTACAACAATAGATGAACATAGGGATGGCATTGAGATGGGGTGGCTGGAGAGGGGAAGGCTGAACAGTGGAGGACAGAGGTAGCAGCTCCCAGGTTCCAAACTGGACCACTGGCGTGGCCGTAGCGCTTTGAGGCAGGACCACTTGATGTGACATGAGCTGGTATTGGTGTCTGGAGGCAACCAAGGAGTCCAGCCATAGCCGCAGCTTCTAAAATCTCTCCCCAGTCGTCAGCATTTTCTGGCTACTGACCTGCAGGGTGTTTGACGGACAGCTGGTAGACTCCGATCAGCCCCCTCACCTAGTGTCATCTCTGAAGTTGGTGCCTGTACTTACATTGAAGTGAGGACTGAAGGAGAGAAACATATAAAGGGCCACAGTTGCTACGTGCACCCACCTTGCCAACCCAGGGACCACATCCACGGGGCTGCTGGGACGTGGGGCCTTCCCCAGCCTTTGTTCTCATCCCAGGGACATCCATTAAATGTCCCTTCCTTAGAGTAATTGTTGGAGCCACACTATGCACGTAGCCCGCCTGCGTCCTAGAACTGCGGGCAAGACCTTCAGAGCCCACTTCAGGCTTGAGATTCCTTTTCTCTGTCCCTTGGGCTTTGTCTGGGTCCCTGTGTGTGTCCTTGTCTATGAGGACAAGGACTTTGTCCACTGCTGGGGCCCCATTGTGTAGGGCTCTGTAAACATGCGCTGCATGAATAAACCCATTCATGCTTGATGTATTTTCAAGTGTGTTTCTTCTGTTTCATAAGAGGTTTCTGTCAAAGATGCCAAATCTAGAAATACTGGGTTGAAGCCAGGCTGAGCATTAGGGTCAATAGGAGCAGTGGCAAAGCAAAGTCCTTGGGGTCCGAGGTCAGAGAACCCAGGTGGGAATTTGGCCTCCACACCTACCTGGATGATGAGCTCCTTGAGCACAGAGACTGTTTCCAGTGCCTACAGCAGGGGCGAGTGTGGAGAGTTTGAAGAATGCAGACTTGCATCTTGTCCCTTTGCACTGTTTCCACTTCTGCTAGAGCGTCTCCTCCGTGGACTAGAGGAAGTCTAGCTGCTTGTGTGTGATTCCATTGCCTGCCTTTCTTGCGTTCTTACTCATTTTTAGGGAAACAAATGCATCTACTGTGATTTCAACATTATTGTGTTATTTAGTGCCCTTCTTTCCACCCCAAGAGAAGGGTGATGACTTAGCACTTTGATACACTCCGAGTTATTTCGACCAAGTGGATGATGAAATGTCCCTGCTCCCTGGAGTTTTCCTTTCTAGCAAAAAAGCCAGGGCTGCAGCAGCTTGTAAATCCTCCCACAGTCTTTTGACTTTGCAGACACGGGCCCCTGCTAACAAACTGACCCATCAGGCTGATGTCCTCCATCCCTATTAGTGAGCGGGACTCTCTAGCCCAGTCTCACTTCTAATTGGAGTTTTTACTTTCTGGGGCAGAAAGCTGAGCTTGGCACGATTAAAGTGCCTGTTTGTTTATGCCCATTTGCCTATGATAGAAAAGCCGCTCATTTTCCAACAAAGAAGCCGTTGGTTTCTATTGGTCTCTCTTCAAAACCAATTTTCCTCCTTCTCCTTGGTCTTCCTCCTCGCCTCCCTCCTGGGGTCTAATCCTTGCTCTTCCAAATGCTTCTTGAGTGACTTTGTTTAAGTTATTTAACCTGCTTGTGTTAAATTTCCTTCCATCTAAAACAACAGCCCTGCTTAGAATTCTATTTTTAATACCAAGTGAGAAAATGCCTGTGACATCCTTGACAGCTCAGTATGTAATAACTGAGAACCACTCCTCTTTCTCATCCTTTCATTCACCCCCTTTCTCCATCCTCCTCTTCTTCTCTCTTTGTTATGCATTCTTTCTGTTACATGCATCATTCCTCACTTTTGACCTTCTTTTTTATCTCCCCTTTGTAACCCACCTTTAGCGATTATTTAATAATCAGTCTGATCAGAAGTTGCATTACCATTCGTCTAAAATGTCTGATCAAGTTCCAGGATCCTTTGAACTAGTGAACATCAATAAAGGGTTAGCCCATAAGAGCACTGATATTTATGCTCCAGCAGCCACTGGATGGCAGAAATAATCACAAAGGGGTTTATGTTTCTCTAATCAAGTTGTGGAAGCATCAAAGAAAAAAACCTCTTAATCTAGGGTAGGATTTTTCTAGGGACAAAGCAAGTAAGAAATATGGCTATAACTCTAGGACTCACATCCTCTCTCTTCAGAATGGAGTAGGGGCTCATAAATCGCTTTCCCAGTGTCTTCAGGCCAGCTGTGAGCTGTGTTTGCTGACTCTCTGAATCATTGGCCAGCATGATGGTACCTGGTTAACTGTGGAAACATTTCCATTGTCTGTTTGGGAGAGAAATTTGATTTTCTGAAGGAAGATACTATTTGGCAAATCAGAGTTTCCTGTCGAGAGATGGCTGCCCTTCTCCCTAAATGCTTCCTCAGAGGGCATTATGGCATTCCGTCAGCTTGCAGCGTTGTTTGTTAAAATTTCCTCAATTTGAGGAAGCAGAGAAATTTTTCAGAGTGATTATTTTTTCATTTGTATGCCAAAAGGCCCGTTTTTAAAAAATTATTCTCCCAATCCTGAGTGTCTATATGTAGCTATGTAGGCAATAAGAATACTTATAAATGGAATATTCACACCCTTGTAAGTGCAACACCAATACTTATTGGTCACGGAACAATTACAAGTATGCGAAGTTGTAAGAAGTTGAATCCTGCCCTGTCTTGGGCCTGACACAGTGCTGGCCTCACTGCATACACGGTCTGTTTAACCCTGCACAGTAATTCTGCAAAGCTGAGTTTCCAGTTCCCATTTGCGCAAGAGGAAACCAGGGCAGTGAAAAGGTATAAGGTGTCGGTGCAAACGGAGGAAGGCGGGGTGGACTTTGTTAACATAGCAAGGGTGGGGCGACCAAAGTGAGTGGACCTGGCCCCTCAGGACATGGGTCCTGGGAACATCCCCGCCTGCCGCGGGGCCTCAGATGGGGCATTTCATCTCTCGCACTTCAGTGTGGTCATCAGGTGTGCAAGTGGGGATGCCGGTCCCTGTCCTGCCAGCCACACCGGTTTGGGATGAATACCAGGTAAAACAGCAAGACAGAAAACCAATTTATTCTGTATGTAAAGCAAAGAGAAGCTTCGGTATGTAGTTACTATTATGTTATGAATTGAAATGGCATCTAAGGGAAAGGAACTGACATTAATGGAGCTTTACGATGACTTGGCAGGATTTCAAACGCTTTCCCTTGTGTTGTCTCATCCGAACCTGACAGAAAGCCAAGTTGATTTACTACTTACTTTACATATACGGAACCCCTCTAAGGGTGTGGAGGTAAAGTAACTTGCTCAGTGATACACAGTAAATAGACAACAAAGATGCAGTCTTGTTCTAGGGGAGAACAGACCTGACTCCATAGTGGGTCTGTTTCTTTTACTTCAACCATTGTATTCTATTGTTTTGCTAAAAGTTAATCACTCAAGGCAAGTTGCCCATACGCTTAAATTGCATATACTGTCCCATCTCCAGGAACCCTGGCTCCCACGTAATGAGCGTTAAGCTAAAATACTTTTGTTTCGCTCACAGGCCCACCTGTGAATGACTGCAGGAGGGAAGAAATGAGCACATCCTCCCCAGGGACTGACTGGAACCAGTCTTGGTAAGTAGCCAGTTGACTTTATTCTCCCCCTACCATTCCTTTTAGTATAAAAGAAGCCTGAATTCTAACGCAGGTAAGATGGTTCTTTGGGACACTAGTCCACCATCTTCTCAATGTCTTTCCCAATAAAGTCACTATTCCTTGCCCCAACAATTCATCTCTCAATTTATTGGTCTATTGTGGGATGAGCAGTACGAACATAGGCTTGGTAACAGTCTGAACCTCTCTTTCCAACAACAGAAGCTGTTTTTTCTATTATATCATCCTGACAAAGCTGAATGAATGCTTCTCCCGTCTTAAAAAAGGAAAAAAAGAAAGAAACAAGAATAATCTCAAATAAACCGCCTAACTGTACACCTAAAGGAACTTGAAAAAGAAGATATAAGTCCCAGTTAGTAAAAGGAAAGAAATCATAAAGATCAAAGCAGAAATAAATGAAATAGGGCTAAAAAATAGAAAAGATCAATGAAACTAAGAGCTGGTTCTTTGAAAACATAAACAAAATTGATAAGCCTTTAGCCAGACTCATCCAGAAAAAAAGTGAGGAAGGGCCTAAATCAATAAAATCAGAAATGAAGAAGGAAAAGTTACAGCTGATGCTACAGAAATGCAAAGGATCTTAACAGATTTCTGTGAACAATTATACACTTATAAAATGAACAACCTAGAAGAAATGGACAAATTTCTAGAGATGTACAATCTTTCAAGACTGAACCAGGAAGAAATAGAAAGTATGAACAGACCAATTACCAATAATAAAATTGAAGCAGTCATCAAAAAACTCCCAACAAACAGAAGTCCAGGACCAAATGGCTTCACAGTTTTATCCTAATTGGTGTCTCCCAAATTGCAATTCCTAAAACCCCAAATAAGGTTATTGGTTCTTTGCAGGCTACAGACTGATAAGTGTTGAACATAAAATTTATCTGCGCTTCAGTTTCCTCGTCTGAAAATGACCTCAAATGTCTGCTATGTGTAAAGCACACATCGCTGTCCCTGACTGTAGCAGGTCTTCGACTGGTGTGGGTTCCTCCTTCCCTTGCGCTTCCCCCGCCGTGGTGGAGGAAGTCTCTTTGTGGGATTCTGGGGAGCTGGATCTTACATAATTATTTTTCCAGGTGAAGCCCTCAAGCTAATGGATGACTTCCCGCACCTTCTTTTATGATGAAGTGACAAAGATTTTTCTGATTGCTTTGTTTTTCCTTTTTATAAAGTAGCCAAGATAATAAACCTCATGCAATCCTGGCTCTGCAATACATTTTCATGCTAATTAATAGCAGCCTCAATGGGGTGAGAAAGTTTTTTTAGGAAAATAAATTACATATATTCAGGTGTCTGATTTTTACCGCCATTAAACTTAACTACCCTGTTTGTGTCTCTTTATTGCTCTTCTTTTATAAAGACCATAAAAAAGAAGCTACAATACTTCAGCCAGGGGCCAGGGAGGAAGCCGCCTTTTCATATTTCTAATAGCTTCAAATAAAATATGTTCAAGCACTCCCAGCCATCTGGCTACAGGAGGTTGTTTAGAGAGCCCCCCTTCCCCACCCCTGATTTTTATAAGCATCAGTTCTGTTTTCCAATTCCTTGGCTGGATTAAATATATGAACTGCTCAGCCCTTTGGGTGATAAATGTGTTGATTGTGACCATTTCCTCTTTCCAGTTTCCAATTAACATGATTGGTATGGAATCTACAGAGACAGCTTAGGTCTTGAAACCTTCCTGTTGCAGCTCAGTAGCTGAGTCAGCACAGATTTCAACATCCCCTCCCATCTTTGATTGTTTCCCTACTCACACACCTTTTGGAGTGTTTAACAATAGCTCAATATTATTTCCATTCATTTGGGGAAAAAAGAAAACCTGGATTTAAAATCTGCAGATGCAACGTCATTTTTCTTTAAAACATTCCATTGAATACAAGTAATTTTCTATAACATTTTCATACTATGGGCAGCTTCATATTTGCATAGGGAACAGACTGAGCTTCTAATCAGGCAGTATTACAAGTGATTGCGATGCTTTTCACGAATGCAAAGTGTCATGGGAAAGGTAGAGAGTCATAAAGAAATGAGGATGGCTCCAGCGTGCTCATGAAGAACTGATTGCCTCTAACACCTGCATTATTCTAACAGCCCACATCCAAATCCCAAGATAAAGGTGGAAGATCTAAACAGAGGCTGACACTCCTCCTCTTTCCCTGCCTTCTTGTCGTCCTCATCATCTTCCAGAATCTCTTGACCACCACTGTCATCATCTCAGCACCAGTGGGACCTGTGGAAGGAATCCAGGTACAAGTCGGTGGGACCAAGCTTGACTGTTCTTGCCTCTGCTGCTTATAACCTTATTATTTTAGGTGGAATTAATTCTGTCCTTTAGTTCTGATTCCAGCATCTACAAAGAGAGAAAAAAATCATAATACCCATCTCTCCTAGGTATGTTGTGAAATAATACGAGTGAAATAGCTAACACAAAGCTGGTACACGTGTTGTTATCCAGTAACACAACAGCTAATTGCTGAGACTCTGGATCCAGAATGCTTGGGTTCAGATCTTGGCTTTGCCTCTTCCTGGCTGGATTGCCTTGGAAAAATTACTTAAACTCCACCTATGAAATGAGAATCACAATCATAGAACATATTTTATTGTTGTGAGATAAAATGAGGTAAAATGTGCTGAGGATTTCAGCTGTGTGGTGTGATAGAACTGTAATTATCATCTAAAACATTGTCAGTCACCTACTGTGACTTCCTTCAGCCAGCATTTGCGGGACATCTGGTATATGCCAAGCACTCCTCTAAGCACCTGCCGTTGGACCAAGGATGAATCACAGCCTTCTGTTTCAGGTCAGGCGTTGGACTCACAGGGGAGTCTTCTGTGTGTTTGCTCTCTGACCAGATTAACTCCCCTGTCATGAGTCCTCATTGAAGCCAGCATCTCTTCTTTCAGCATGTGTCACTGTTAGAACTTTCCATGGTGTGAGCTAACTCGGTTACTCTTCCATCTCCTAAACCCTGTATGCCCCGTGAGAGCAGGAACCGTGTCTGTTTTGGCTCAGTCACCATTCAGTTCCGGCCTTGGTTGCATGCCAAGAGTTCAATCAATATTTATTCACTATGGAATGGAGGTAAAGCCCCCTTTTGAGGACTTTGTCTTTTGGCAGAGTTGTCAAACTTGGCAAATTCTGTGCTAAAGTTATATGTTAGTAAGGGCTGTAGAAACTCAAATGGTGAAGAACTCTATCCTTGGAATTGAGAAAATCTTCCTAGACCTCCCCAGGGTTTTGAAGGGTGAGTAGGAGTTCTTCAGGCTAAAAAGGGGAAAGGAGGCATTTCAGGCTGATAGAAGAGTATGTACTAAGGTATAAAGAAATGAAAGTGTGTTGGGGATTGATGGCTTGGCCAAAGCTCAGGTAGCATAGTAGGAGGGTCAGGAGACAAAGCCTAACATCGGCACTCTTGTCTCTTGAGCACGTAATTCAGTGCCTTGCATGTGTTTGCTGCTCAGTGAATATGTTTTCATTGAATGTTGAATGAAAGGGCCAGTGCTTATAGTTAAGGAGAATACGAAGCACTTGGCTGTGAATAAATAGACACAGTTGTTGCTGTATTATTTAAAGACACAGGTCCTGACTGCAGTAAATGACCAAATGGAACAAATATGGTTTACATTAGAGAGATGTGTACTTTTAGCTCCTAAGAAGTCTAAGTATAAACAGCATAGGGTTGGTAAAGCAGCTCCGTGGCGCTGGGACCTGGGTTCCTTTTATCTCCTTGTTCTGCCATCTCAACACCGCTTCCATTTCTGGGTCCATGACGGCTGCTTCAGCTGTCACCAGGCTGCCACCCACGTGGGCCAGCGGATGGGGGGAGGGAACAAGGAGGCTGCTACCTTTTTTCAGCTTCTCCTCCCAGTGGCCAGCAACTCGCTGCAGGAGAGCGGGGGTGGGGAATAAAGTCTTGAACTGTGTGATGGTTAATTTTATGTATCAAGTTGCCCGGGCCCTGCAGATGCCTGCATATCTAATTAAATATTTATTTCCAGGTGTGTCAGATAAGGTGTTTCAGGAAGAGGTTAGCATTTGACTGGTGAGCTGAGTACAGCAGACGGCCCCTCCCAGTGTGCGTGATTAGCATCCAGTCCGCTGAGGACCGGAATAGAGCAAAATGGTGACAGGAGATTAGATACGTTCTCTCTCTTTGCCGGGCTGGTTTGATCTTCTCCTGCCCTCTATGCTCCAGGTCTTTGGAACCAGTCTGGAATCCACACCATCACTAGTCTGGCTCCCATGCTTTCAAGCTACACTGCCAGCTTTCCTGGGTCTCCAGTTTGCAGATGCAGATCATGGGACTCAGTATAATTCCATGAGCCAGTATCTTATGATGAATCTCTTTCTAATGTCTCTCTCTCTATATAGCTATATGTTTCTGTCTATCTACCTACCTACCTATCTTTCTATCTATCATTCCCTATTGGTTTTGTTTCTCTGAGGAATCCTGACATTATAAGCTAAGGAACCACATGCCCAGCTGAAATATTAACTACTATAGAGGAAGTAAAAACAAGCATGGGGGTGGTGCGTGGACACCTCTGCTTCACTTGGCTTCTATGCATGGTCAGCCTGCTGAAACAGGAGTCATTGGAAAATTTATAAATATGAAACTGGAGACAACAGGGCTCCTGGGAAGACTCTGATTTAACTTGCATCCTTCCCCAACTGTGCAGTTGGACTTCAGCAAAAAGGAGAACTTCCTAGAAGAAAGGGCCAGTGCAGCTTACACCTGCTCATGTGAGAAGACACTCTGATGTGCAGACACCAGTTACGGGAGGTGTTGGTGTCATTTAGTGCTATTAAAACACAAAACCTTACAGCGAGCATTTCCCTTATGAATTTGAATTCCTCCTTTTGTATTATGAATGTGCTTTACAGCGTAGGAGGGGGACGGGCAGGCTTATAACTAGCTCAGCACGATTTAGGGGCCACGGCAACATGGGGCTCACAGTCTGCCTTGCCTGTGACAGAGCCTCAGAGCGGGTTAT